TTTTGATTTTTGTCGATTTAGATAATTTTTTTTCAAAATACCTTATGTTCTTTTATCAATGATATCGTGATTTACATGAATTTAATTAAAAATGTGTGGATACAAAAAATTCGAGATAAGTCGAATGGATACCTTTATATTAGCGAGGTATTAATAATTAAAATTTTGGAAAAAAAGATTGTTAAATTTTATATATAATAACAAATTTTTCAGAAAGCATACTTAGGTCTTTCGTTATTATCTCGTTATTATCAAGTTCGATTTATCTCGAACAGTTGGTACCCGAGATACTTTTGTATTCATACATATAAAAAATTACAATAATGCATGTATTTTATTACTATTAAATATATTCCTTCGTAATCACCATTCCATAAGGAAATCATTTTATCTTTTTATTTTTAATAAGAGATGATTTGTAGTAATGTGTGGTAGAACATATAATTTCCTCGCAAATTTTGATATTATATTAAAAATGCAATAAAAATGTAATTAAGATACTATCAAAATTAGTCTGAAAGATTTCGAATTCACATCTTTCTGTAGTAAGACCGCTGGTGTTTGACGGATTGCTTAATTTTTTTTGCGAATGGATCTTATGAATTTGACGTGGAATCAAAATACATCAAGTTCGCTTTTCTATAAAGATTTTTTTCTTCTTTATATCGGATACTAACCTTCACAACGTGGAGGGACCTTGATCAAATTATCGGGATAATTATCTTAAATGCGACGAAAGTCTTGTCGTAAATGTATTAATGACTTTTTATCACGATATTAATAAGTTTTATAATATAATCGCAAGTTAATAATTAATAATAAGTACGATCTAATCTGTTGTTAGTATTTTCATTCCACATTTATCAATATTTCATTAAACATTGGTTTAGAAAATTTGTGTTATCGTACGTATTTTCGAATTAATTATTTTATTGTATTTCGATAATCATAATGCAATATGATTTTAGCGAAATATAATAAAATAATTAAAGAAAAAAAGTGAGATATAAAATTAAAAAATAATAAACTTAAAACATACTTATCTGCAAAAAACGACTAAATTTATTAACAACTCG